CGCCTCATGTTGGCCCGGGGAGGCCATCCCCACTGAAATGACCCCGGATTCCTGACACTCTAAAGCAGCGGTCTTCAACCTGTGGGTGGCGACCCCTTTGGGGGTCGAACGACCCTTTCACAGGGGTCGCCTAAGACCATCGGAAAACAAAAACATATTTACATTACGATTCATAACAGTAGCAAAATGACAGTTAGAGAGTAGCAACGAAAATAATTTTATGGTTGTGGGTCACCACAACATGAGGAACTGTATTAAGGGGTCGCGGCATTAGGAAGGTTGAGAACCGCTGCTCTAAAGGCTTAGGAAGTCCCCACTTTCCTGAGCATCCCTGCCCTTGGAGAGGAACAAAGGGCAGCCTCGCCTGTACCCCGTTGTCCGTCATCTCTACTCCTTGCACCCCGTGGCCCTGTAGACTGAGCTGTGTGTCCAAAAGGGAGCAAGAAGGGACGATACAATTCTCACTGCCTCACTTGCTATTTCCCCTCTGCCTGATCCTTAACCCTCCCTTTGTTTTATTCCTCAGCATGATTCTTCTGCTCTAAGAAAGGGGAAGGCGCTGAGAAATCACGGGGGCCAGGACAGCTAAGACCAGCCCACCAGGCTCTGAGCCCCCGTTTTCTTGCCCTGTCCGGTTCTTCCTTCCCACTCCCAGTTTGGTTGGGTTCCTGCCTGGAGCCCTGCCCCTGGCCATCCGTCCTTCTATCGCTGTGGCTCATCGTGGGGGTGGGGCTAACGGACGCAGAGAGCCCTTGCCTTAGTCCTGGGAGCCTGTGGTCTGGACATTCTCTCTGGAGTGAGATGCTGCCCGCTCCAAGCGTGGCTCAGCCAGCAGCAGGCTCTGGCCTCTGAGCTTTTCTGAGACAGGGAGACCCAGAAAGGGTTGCCATGCTGGCTCTGAGGACTGAGTATTTCCTTTTACGTGTTCCTCTTTGGACCTGTGGTGATGAAACCTGTGGAGCTGTGCGTGTGGAGGGGAGGGACCTTAAGACTGCGGCAGGAGAGAGATGGGCTGTAGGTGGGCTCATTTGCCCCATCTTCAGGGAGAAGCAAGGTTTGTTTGGTTATGTACCTTATTGGGAAGGGGCAAGGCCAGCCTCGTTGGACGCGCTTCTTGAGGTCAAACTTCAGACTACGAGGGGTGACAACTTCAGTTACCTTGGGCAGCAAGGAGGCCCCAACCCTTTAACAAATCATAGGCCTGTGACACTCGGTTTCCCTTCCCTTCCCTCCCTCTTCTCTTCCTTCTCTTTTTCTTTCTATCTATCAAACCCTATTAAGTACCAGCAGGTATTCATGGCTACTTAGTGAAAATTACATCTCTTGCTCAAAAGAAGAAAAAACAGCTTTCTTGGCGGGTCGTATGGATCAGGGACTTAGGACCAAAGGAAGTGGCTGAGCGGGATAGGATTTGACAGTCCACTCTTCACCAGGGACAGTATGTACTTTCTACCACTGCTCATCTCTGATCTTTCCATGCCCAGCTCCGGTGGACTAAGGCTGTGACAGTTTTGCTCCTGTGCTTGATATGAGCTGGTGAGGAGCTGTCACTGCTTCCAATGCCAGCGATACCTGCAGTGTGGGAAGCGCGTGGGGCCAAGTCAGAACTTGAATGTTTTCTCTTAGGATCACCGTTAGGGCTGCTAGTTCGATTTTGCCCACCAGCTGAAAGCACAGCATATCATGGCGTTGCTATTATGTGATACGTCAACATTTTCAATATTGTTTAACAATATTGAAACAAAATTCACTATTGTTTAAAATTAGTTTTATAACTTAAAGCGCTTCGTATATTATCATGATGTGATGGGATATGATCTATATCATATCCTGTATTGTCTTAGTTTTCATAGATCACACACACACACACACACACACACACACGCACGATTGTAAACTATTAGATTTCCTTTGACAAAATTAGTAAGGGCGCTAAAGGTTACTTTATTTGATATTTAAAGGAGTAAGCCTAATTGGTCTTTACATTTATTGATGACAGTGAATTATTACATTTTTATAATGTTTGAGCATGTTTGGGGTCACAGGTCATATGTATTTTTTAAATTATGTTTTTGTGCTAGGTTCTATAAAAACTAAGTCCCAATTTGAAGAATAACAGCTAATCTGAATTAGTTATAATGACTTTTCTTAGTTTATCAGTTTTTATAATGAGGGAAGCATTGGCTTAAATACGAGTTGTTGGGTTTTTTTAAAAGAAAAAGTGAATACCTGCAGTATTTAGACTGTCTTGATTCCTGCATTTTATCTTTGCATTTAGTTTACATCTTACAAATAAAAATTTTAACATAACCAAGAATAAAAAATTTCTATATATTTGGAGCAATTTCTGCACAGAAGCTTATTGTCCATCTACTGCGAATAACTTGGACCAATTGACATGTAATCATGAACCAAGAAGTTGGCAGTGAAGACTTGTGATAAACTGGGATAGTTTTTATCAGTTGAGGAGCTGACATCCGTGTAGTCAGATTATAGATTATAGATTCTACCTCAAAAGGCACGGAAGTCTGTGATATTTTAGGAGGGTCCTTTAAAATTCAATGTTGTTTAAATAAAATTAGTTAAAAAAAGTTAAAACTTGAGGCATTTTACTTCAGATATCATCATCTCTAGAACACTGCACTTGCATTTCCATATGAATGATATACTAAGAAGCAGAGAGAGAACCTGTTTTCACCCAGTGGTTCTCAAGCCCTTCCAGACCAGATCGCTTATTCAGAACTTCTGGCTTGGAATCCCGATATGGAAAACAAAGAAAGGAAGAGGTGTTGTGGTTCCAGTGAGTGCTGTGGGTCCCTGGGCCTGCTCAGTTCCCTTCCCTCCACCCTCAGTGGCTTTGTGGGAGCCTCACGGAGTCCCTGGAAGCTTTGCAGAACTCCATGCCGAGCACAAGGCCAGGCGCAAAGCTAGACAAGGGCAGGAGTTATTGGTACGGACCGAAGGAGGCTTTTCGGGCGTCCTCGCATCACAGCTCGTCAGGGGCGGCCTGTCGCGCATGTGGGCAGTGGAATCTACCAAGGGTTTTGTGGAGGAGTAGTCTGGACTCAGTTCCTGTTTCCTTAGCATCCCGTAACTCTGAGGAGCAACATCACTCAAGTACCTTGTGCGTTTGCTGCAGGAGGTGCTACAGCAGCGATCCCCACCAGGACATCCAGAGGAAACAGGAGAGGGACAGTGATTTGCTTATGGGCGCGCTGCTCATGGAAATTTACGAAGTAGAATTTTACTATTGTTGCCTGGAGTGATGCTATTACTGCTGTTACTACTATTGCTACTATTACTACGGTTACTACTACTACTACTACTACTGCTGCTACTGCTATTATTACTACTAGTATTTGTTCTCCCCTGCCCCTTTCTTTTTAGTACTAGAGCCGAGACACTTTTCAGCAGCGTAGCTAGATGCTTGGGTGCCCCTTATCCTTTGTCATTTGCAAAATCAGTTGATGGCCAGACTGACTTCACGTTGCAGACTATGTTCTTTCCACAGGCAGAGGACAGCCAGGAGTAACACAGCCCCCAGGCAGGATACCTACACCTCCGTCAGCGGGTAGCTAGACTCAGACTTTAGTGGCTGAGTCGCACAGTGTTCTGGGTCCTTGGTTGGTGGCTGATAACACTGTGGAGACAGTTTCTTTCCCGATACCACCCCTTCCAGGGTGGTTGTTTGGGCCTTTTGTTCTCCTTGCGAGCAGCAGTCCCTTATCCCTTCTCGTCTCCCTGCCACAGCTGGCTCAGAAATTATAGCTGAGCAGAGGAAGCCACACATCGGAAGGGGGTGGGTTGCCGGCAGTCGATACTACACTAGCACCTCTCTCAGCGTAGGGACACAGGCCTTTCACACTCGGAAGCTTTGATACACGGCTTCACAGGCTGGCTTTGATAAAATAAAGTGTCTCTCAGTGCTCAGGCCCCCAAATTGTTCATGCAGACCCACCTTCTACTCTGTGCTTTGTAGAGTGGCTGGAGCTTTCCTAGCTTAGATTTTCCATGGCACTGGCGGTAATGAAATGGAGAGTCCACCGTTTTCTCTCTCTCCCTGCTGCTCGTTTTTTATTGTTAACGATACACCCCGAGAACTAGTATATGTATTGTGAATTTAAATTGGTATTGAGTGGCAGGCCAAATTTTGTAATACTTCAAAGTAGGAGCTCTGGAGTCAGACTACCTGTCTCCCTGGGCCCTAATTGGACGACCCCAGGGATGTCACTTATTGTGCCTCAGTTTTCTCCTCTGTAAAACAGGAGCAAGAACACTACCAGTTTCTTAGGGTTGCGAGAATTAAATGAGTTACTGTTTGTGACGTGTTTACAAGAGTCCATGGCCGGTAGCAAGTACTAAATCCATGTTAACTGCTGTTGCTGTTATTATTACCATTATTATTATTATTATTACTGTTGTTGGGTGGAAAAGTTAAACATACCTTCTTGCTTTCCTGAAGATTTGGGCAGAAACTCAAGTAGCTTCGTATAGATTTATGTCTAGGATAGAAGCCGAAATTGGTTGACTGGCCTTTTGAAATACAGGCTCTTTGGCAGAAGGGAAAGAATTCTTGTTTTGAACTGAGACCTAACTATAAATGTTTGTTGGCACTGCCCCTTAACAACTAAAAACGTTTCTTAAAAAATGGAGGAAAATAATGCCCATATTGTTAGGCTATGAAACTTAGGAATAACAATAAAGAGCGAGGTTCATATTATATACTCAATGTACTCATGTCACAGTTATTATAATTATCATATTTTGAAAAGAAAACCTAGGCCACCCTAAGTCTTGAGGCTATGGGAGCGACTTGGTGGGTCAAAGGATTGTCGATGAAGTTTGTTGCATTATTGAATGTTGAAGATGAAGTTTTAAATTTGCTTAGTAATATAAGCAATTGCAATGTTTACCTTATTTACACATGCTCTTTACTACCCAGGACCTCTTCAGAATGGGCTGTTAACATGTCTTCTTGTATTTTGAATTGAATGTTGTAGAAATCGGCCCTCAGGAGGAAGTGTGCAGTCTGTAAAATCGTCGTCCACACCGCCTGCATTGAACAGCTAGAAAAGGTGAGACAGCGCCCCCTGCTGGAACTTTTGCTACCTTGCAAGTGTTTGGACTTCAAAGCCCAGGGGTCCATTCCTAGTCCCAACTTTTTGAAAACAATGCCCTTTAAAAAAAAACAAAAACGGGGAAGTCCAACATTGTTACCGTATGAATAATGGAAAGACAGTGCTTAAGGTTTACTCACTCTACTGTTTGCTGAACTATCCTGTGATATTTTATGCTGGCTCTGGAAAAGGAATGCTATGGTTAGAGAGAAAAGTCTGGGATGTACACAATAGCAGACATTGAGGTTCACCCGTAGGATTTTCCACAAGATTGTTTTCTTCTTAAAGAAAAAAATATTCCAGAAGCTCTTAAAAATCGGGTTTTAGATACGTCTGACCTTTGTGGGTTTACTTCTTCCTAAAGTGGCTGCAGGGAGAGTGCCAGGCCAGAAGCCAGCGCTGAGTACCTTGCTTGCACAGTGCTAACGTGTGGGCGGGGCTGGAAGGGACAGCCTGGTGGTGTCTTTCCCCCAGGATGCATGAATTCTGGGTAGTGCATCTATCTGTCATCTGGGGGAAGGGAGAGGCTCCAAGGCCTGCCATCCTCGCCACTTTCCTGCCTCCTGTCCCATTTCCACGTGGGATTCTCTGCGCGTTATGGATGTTGCTGTGCTGCCATGTATTGAGCAATTCTATTTAGTCCCCTTGCGACGTTCATTTAATTTTGCAGACATATTACCCATTGTTGCCAACGGATATTTTGTGGGAATGACTACTAATATTTTATCTTAATATTGTATCTCATGTCCCAACCCTTTTTAGTCATCTCGGCCATCTTTTCTAGATTCCTCTCACCTTATCTAAGAAGATGGCAATGTACCAGTATCAGGAGAGCTCCCCATCTAAAAGAAAGGCAGCACTGAATACTTAAAGAGTGTGTGTGTGTGTGTGTGTGTGTGTGTGTGTGTATCAGCATCATTTAGAGAAGCTGATGTGTAATATATGTCAACTATAATTGAATATATATATATATATATATATAGTCACGGGATGTGGAGTATAGTGTGGGAGTGGAGTCAATGGAATTGTAATCGATATGTACAATATGGGGGCAGAGTGGGGCAGCGGATTGGGGGAGGGGGGTTGTCACTTTGAGGGGTAAAAAGTATAACTATTGCACTGTGTTGTACACCTGAAACTAATCTAAAAAAAATTTTTTTTTAAAATTTCTCAAGTTTATATTTTCCTACTTTTAAAATCTGAAACACAGATGGGCGATTTCAGCGGCCGGATATTTTTTCCTCTGGCTCTTTATTATCTCAGTTTCTCAAATTTACGGCCTAAGCATTACTGTTTAAAGATATGTTGATTTTATCGGTGAGAGTGGAGAGACCTGGGTTGGAGATACAGAATCACTTGGGATCTCTGTAGATTATCTAAGGCGATGATTTCAAAAGACTAAGAACAGTGTTCAACTTTGTTCCTCATTCTTTAGGGATTTTGTTTTGTGGTCTCCCTGTCTGTCACAGTTGGTTTATTTAGGTAACTTATTTTAGTCTGATGCTTGTCCCTAATGTAATACACCTGTCTTTTTAAATAACAGATCAATTTCAGATGTAAACCAACATTTCGAGAAGGGGGCTCAAGGTCACCAAGAGAAGTGAGTATTTCAGAGCTTTATGTCAAATACCACCTTTTATTTCCCGTAGATTCATTGGATTCATAGATAGTCACCAGAAATTAAAAAATAAAGTCTATCTCCCTTCATTTCACATAGCTTCTTATTAATATATAAACAAATATAGTCAATAAAATGTCCAAGTCTCTTCAACGTGTATATACCTGGCTTTATTCTCGCGGAATGTATTGGGGAGCTGAGGTCTCACTGAATGAACCAGAGAGGAAGGGAGCGGGCAATGGTAAAATTAAAGAGGTAAGAAAAAAATAGCATTTTATTGTCTTTAGGTCCATTTTCATTCTGTTTTTCAGTTTTGAGTGGCTAGAAGCTATTCGGGGACAGCATAGTTATGAGTATTCCTATAAATGCTGGACTCAGACTATCTGGTTTTAAAATCAGCCTTGAAATTGTGTGATTTGGAGCATCTCACCTAATCTCCCTAAAGCTGAATGCTTTCATCTGTTAAGTAAGTAAGTAGGTAGGTAGGTGATAGATAGATAGATGATAGATAGATAGATAGATGATAGCTAGATATGATAAAATGATAGATAAGATGATCGATCAATCGATTAATAGAGATAAGGTAGATGATTGATAGATAGATAGATAGATAGATAGGAAGGGAGGGAGGGAAGGAAGGAAGGAAAGAAGAAAGGAAGGAAAGAAGAAAGGAAGGACCACGTTCAGTGCTCAGCCCCTGTCTGGTTGTGAAGACAAACAGGTAAATAGGAAATTATAAAGAAGAGAAGTTGGTTGTGCATTAGTGATAAGCAGAGGTGATGGCAGGAGGAGCTTGTATTTAGAGGAGATGGAGCACAGTGCAGGGAACTTTTGGGGAAGGCGAGGGACAGTTCGTAGAGGTTCTCAGCCCTCCTGTGTTATCCTGGCTAGTCTAGCTCCAGGTCCAGAATTTCGTTTCCCACTGGGCACAACAAAGGCCTGTATGAACAGAACCCATCCTCCTTAGAACATAGTTAAGCCTGCCCAGCTGTTACCTTCTTACGTGGTACTCTCTGTAAGAGAAAGCGTGGTAAACATAATTTTCCGCAAGTAACTTTCTTCATTTCATTTCCATTCCCATTGAGATTACTTTTAGTTCCACATATAGATTTACCCTCGTAGGAACCTTCCCAGCTGATACACTCCTCAGACTAGCTCTGTGTAGTGAGAATAGGAGAGAGAGGGAAAGAGGTCAGAGAAAGGACTTCCTGGAAGAGGCGGCCACTCAACTGAGACTCAAAGATGTTCTCTAAGTGAAGGTGGGGGTGTACTTGGAAGGTGAGTGAGAGCCTTCTAGACAGAAGGAACCCATGCACACAAGCATAGAAATGAGAGAGACCGTAACGAGTAAGACATGAGACCCAAGAGATAAGCAGAGGCTAGATCATGAAGTTCCTTGTAAGCCATTCTACAATTTGGGTGTTTCATCATCACAGTAATGGGGGGGCATTAACTATTTTAAGCAGAATATATTATTCTGGCTACAGTGTGGAGGGAATACCTTGCAGTTGGAGAGTAGCAATATTTGAGGTATTACTAAAAAAAATTAAGGAGCTATTTTAATCTAGGCATGAAATACTGGTGATCTGAACTAAGTAATATTGGAATTAAGAACACTAGTAGATATGAATTTGAAGGAAAAAAATTGACAGGATGTAGTAAATAATTGGATTTTGGACATGAAGGTAGGGAAGCCCAGATAAGCCAGGTTTCAACTCTGGAAAACAAGTTAGGTGTTGGGAAATGCGTTGATATGAGGACAGGGTGGGGAGGTGATGAGTTGAGTTGCAGAACTCCAGTTTGAGGCATCCTTGAGGTCCCCAATAGGAGATGCCCAATAGAAAACTGAGTGGGCATATGAGTTTGGAGCTTCTGAGGAAGACTGGGCTAAAGGTAAAACATTTGTGAATTGTCAGCATCACAGATAGTACTTAAAGCTGTGTGAATAGATGAATGGGTAGAATAGGAATAGAAGATGTCTGAATACAGAGAGGATCACTGGCATTTCAATGACAGTTAATGAAAAAAGACAGTGTGAAAAAGGATGAGCTCACTGTCACTGACTCATACAAGGAGATGGGGAGACAACATGCAAAGAGAACAGGCTGGGAGTGGAGGTTGCAGACAGAGGAAACACAGGTGTCCTCATCAGTCATCCTCTTCCACTGTGCTTGTCCATTATGTCAGCAGTAGGAAGGTTACGGGTCATATGTTGTGTGAGGAAGCCTAAAAATAAGGTAGAGTTGTACCATTCAGGTGCACCATAGAATTGCCCAGGAGATAACTCAATGATAGCTCAAATGAAGGAGACGTTTCATTTTGACAATAGAAGGAATAGCTTTGTGTTTTTAAGATAGGAGTTTATGAATTTCCAATCAGGGGTTCCACGTGTCCACCTTGAGCTCCCTCTCCTTGAATCGCTCTTTCTTCCTGTGTAGATCCTTGCTGTATGTGTAATTTTCTAATGCAGGTGTTTTTGGTTTTTTTTTCTTCTTAGTTTTTGCTAAATCTATCACTTCTCTTCCATGAAGTCAAACCCTCCATGAGTGTGTTGGATACCTTTTCTTGTCTTCTGGTCAAGGACTTGATATCTCTTCCTTTTTGACATTTTCACCCCCTTCTAGATTATTTCATCAACATGAACATGCTCTAATAGCTCTCGTCTTAAAAAAAAAAACCAAAACAATTGAAAACATTCCTTAACCACCAACTGTGTGTACACTGTGGTTCTGATTTTCAGTTTTGTGTTCACTGCTAAACTTCCAGAAAGTGTGTTACATACCAGGGGTGCCCAAAAAATGCTTACACATGACTTGTATTCATCTTTTGTTATCGGTATAGATTATTACAATTTCAATACAGTTTTTTCCTTTCTTAAAACGTGTATACATTTTTTTGGCACCCTCTGTATAAACAGTATGCCCTCCCTTAGTCCTTTTAACCTGTTCCGATCTGGTTTTTACCTACCCATTCACTGAAATTGCTTTTCCGAATGTTGCCAACATCTCCCTGATGCCAAATCCATTAGATGTTTTTCTCTTCTTTTCTCATTGAATCTTTCAAATGTATTCAAATGTTCACTGTTCCATTTTTCTTGAAATGCTCTCCAATCTTGATGTCTTTCCTAATTTTCGTCTTCTCCCACTGTGTAGTCCTTGCCACCCTCCTTCGTTGCTCCCTCCCCCTGATTTCCACGTATTCTTCTGGTCATGGTACTTGGCCATGTTTTCTCTCTGACCACTCTTGTTGGGCAGGCTCATCCAGGCTTGTGGCTTTAACTACCACATCTGGGCTGACGCCTCCTGCCTTTACATGTCCACCTCACGCTTCTTCTTGGAGTGCCATTTAACATGCCCATTGCACGTATCACAGTCATCTGAAATGCAGTGCACTTAAAACTAAGCTCTTTATTTCCATCATCATTAAAAAACTTTTTTTTTTCAATTCTTTTATACCTCAGAGAGTGAGATGGTTATTGATCCAGCTCTTCAATCGAGAAAACCGGTCATATTGATTCCTTCTCTCATACATTCACCACGCCTAATTCATTTGCCAGCCCTATCAATTTTAGTTATAAAATACATTTGAAGCCACCTATTTACCTCCGTTTCTGGTGTCAGTGCCTTAGACGAAGAAACCGTCATCTCCCACTTTTGATCACTGCAATAGCTTCTCCATAATTCCTTAATCTCCTCCTTCAGACCATCCTGATTTAAGAGAGTGATCTTTTAAAACGAAAATTGGATTATGTCATTTTGCAGCTTAAAATGCTCCAGTGGTTTCCATAGCACTTAAAGCAAAACCAAACCCCTTGCCTGGCTTGGAAAGTTGTGCATTGTTCTGCCCTAGCCTCCCTCTCCACACCCACCCATCTGCCACTGGGACTTCCTTTCCGTTCTTGAGGACACATCAAGGTATTCCCCATCTTCAGGTATTGGTACATGTTATCGCTCTACTGGAAATTTCTGCATGGCTAGCTGTTTCTTACAGTTCCGTCTCAGCTCAGATCCCCACAGTGGTCTTCCTGGATGACCGCCTCTAATATGGTCCCATGTTGTTCTTTTATCAAAGCACCTTGTTCTACTTCAGAGCACTTTATATGTAACAGTTATTTATTTATATGCATTACTCAGTTGCTTGTTTGCTGTCATCTTTCTATAGTATAAGCTTCGGGAGGTCACTCATGGACGTTGTCCCCACCGATGCTACCAGGACACGGAGGATGTGATCAACAAGTATCTGTTGACTGAATGCATTTGTAACGGCATCCATTTCTCCCAAAATGTTCATGAACTCTTGGTCTAACAGGACCATATGAAGATGAAACTTAGGATAGACTAGGACCCATTTGAGATTCTTCATTAAGAGACCTTAGGTGGCTTACTTAATGTAAACGAAAGAACAGTCACTTTTGAATCTGTCTGTCCTGGGTTCAAATGACACCCTTGCTGCTTTTCCACTCCACGAAGTGTCTCCGGAGCAAGGACCTGGAACAGAGATTGTTAATCGCTGTACCCTGTGCTTGTGGGGTGTCTGACACATGGAAGTTTTTTCATAAATATTGGCTGGACTCCTTTAAGTTAAATTTCTGTAGACCTCAGTTTTCTTAGACATAAGCTATATGGATTGGGTTATAATTTTAAGATCCTTTCAAGTGCTTTATGAATAATATAGTGAATTGAATTGGCTGAAAATAGTTGAACAATTGTGTTATGCATTTCTGCTAACGATACTGAATATAGACCCTGAAATAATGTCATTGAGATATTATAAGTAATGGCCCTTTCCTTACCCAGTGTGTATATGAATAATATAGAGGTTATTAATGAACAATAAAAAGATGTTATAGTGTCAGAAGCCTTACTTTGCTATCGAAATAACAGTATATCAACACTCATATTTGCAGCATAAGGATCCTGAGTCTTATATCAGTTCAATAATTTAGGAGACAATGAATAATAGTGAAAAGGGAATAGTGTAAAAATCAAAGTTCTTGGGAAATAAGGATTAGAAAACAGCAGCGAGTCTATCGAATTTTTTTTTCTACTTGATAAAGGCAGTTGGTGATCTTTCAGAATGGTTAATTGTATGATTTAATTGTCAAAGAAACTAGGTTGAGAACTCCAATTCAACATACATTTATTGGATGATTACTTTGCTCAAACTATGTTTAATCAGTGGTAGAAGAAATTTATATTGGGCCAAAGAAGACCTCTTAGTAGAAGGATGTTGAACATCTCAAATTATAGAGCTATAGGTTGGAGGCAGTTAGTTACTCAGTTTCTTCTTCAGTATATATAATATATTATACTGTATATCTAGGATAATAACTGGTATTATGTGCTCCAGTCCTTTTGTTTAAGTTACTGTATCTAACTGTGGCTTAATTTCTTTAGTTTCCTACTTATTTCTTAGAAAGGATGATATTAAAAATATTTACCACTTTCAGAATCATATATATTAATATTTAAATAATTTTAAAATGTTTCCTTTTATTCCTTAAATAGGTTAAACTACACGGTATTATATACCTGCTTACCAAACAATATATGTTGCAACACAAATAATGTCAGTCTTATAATTTCCAAGTAATTGTTGATTTGTGGAAATTGTTAGTTTAATCTTTTGATTAGAGCTGTCACTAGCTAAGTAACCCCATGAGTCAGTCATGATTTCACATGGGAAATTGTGTCAAATTCTTTCAATGTTTTCCTCCTTAAATTCATAGTTATTAGGTGATTTGTAATCTCAACAAGCAGAGAATTTCTCTTACCATCAATGATATTGTTCATTCTCCCTGTTTCTGCTAAACGAACAGCAATTATAGTAACCTTTTCTCTCCCTGTCTGACATTTTCTTGTACACAATATTTCTGCTACTGACTGTCATTGAAATCATCTCATGAAAGAACTTGAACCTGATCTTTCAGAGCAGGAGAGGCACAGCGACACAGAGGTTAAGAGCCTAGGCCAGTCTGCCTGGGTTTGAATCTTTGTTCTGACCATTACCTTTTAAGTAACCACTCTATACTCTGGTTTCCTCATCTGGAAAGTGACGATGATAATGATAATTCAGGTAAAGCTCCCTGATAATGTGACTTGGGGAACAGTACCATTGGCAGTGGGCGTCCATCTTCCCCAGCCCTTATTCTTAAACGGGCCATAGCGTGAAGTTTTTCTCCCCTGACTAGGTGGAAGGCTGAAGAGGTCTGCCTCACCTGTGAAATAGAGGTGGAGGGTTCAGCACCTTCATCCTCAGTAGAGATTTTGCACTGCTTACCGGACAGGCTGCTGAACTTGCTGCCACTGTTCTGGAAGCCGTAGCCAGCCGTGGGACCCAGAGTTGCCTCTACTGATATTGAAGCTTGTACAGACAACCACATCACTTGGGGACAACGGCCCAGTCTTCTGAGTTTGCTGGTGGAACCCAGTGGCATTGCCTAGGCAACAAGATTTGTTTTCAAAAAAGAGCACCTTGGGATAGAATCCTGGAGAATCCTGCTGTGCCAAAAATTAACATTCTAGTTGCTTAATAATGAGGATGTAGAAACAGTCTGCCAAGTTGAGGGGGTGGGGTGGTGGGGTGCTATGGCACTTGAGGAAGAGCTGGGAGGGATGGTAGGGGCACTGAATTGCCATCTACCAACCAATATAGAAATGTCTCAGTATTTTAACTGGTTCATACCAATGGAACAATACCTCTGCTGTTTTCATGAAAATTAAAAGAATAATCACATGTGAAACATTTTTAAAAGTACTTGGCACATAGTATTCAACTATTCAACTAATGTTAGCTATTATTAATGTCTTCTGGTCATGGTACTTGGCCATGTTTTCTCTCTGACCACTCTTGTTGGGCAGGCTCATCCAGGCTTGTGGCTTTAACTACCACATCTGGGCTGACGCCTCCTGCCTTTACATGTCCACCTCACGCTTCTTNATTCAACTAATGTTAGCTATTATTAATGTCTTCCTGAGAAAATTTATATATATATATATATATATATATATATATATATATATATATATATATATGAATTGTGTCGTTTTATTAAACTGCCTTTGTGAGAAAAGCGAGACAAAAATTAGACTAATTAGTGGGGCCATTATGCTTCTTTCTATCGTATTATAGTTAAAAGACCATTACTCCTCCAGAATCTTTGTTTGGTTTTAATTTACATTGATTTGACATTACATAGAGAAATAGAGGTGGCATTTTAGAATTCACAATGCTAATGCTTGTTAGAGGTATTTTTGCCACTCTGAATTTCATAAATTGATACAACTTTTTCCCCCTCAACACTGATCAATTTTCTATGTTTTCCTTTATTTAAAACAGTGCCTGGCAGATATTAGGCATTTAGTATTTGTTGAATGACTGAATATATATTAAAAAGTCTTTTAAAGGGAAAGCATGGATTGTGGCCTGACACTAGACACGTTAATCTCAGGTAAAGTATGTTTTCTCAGAAAAGGGCAGGAGAAAACACATTAGCAAGTATTTTAGGTGTATTGGCCTAACTTGAATGAATTATCTATGTTATTAAGGCTTACCTGCACCCTTGGGCCTGAAGACAACTTTCTCTCTTACAATGTACCCTAAAAGCAGTGGTGATGGACCCCTCCGCTTTAGGAATGGGTGTCTATTTGGGAGGGAAGCGACTTTCCATGTTTCCTACAGCCCAAGATAAGAATAGATCTTGAAAGGGGATCTTATTCAAAATACCCAAGGACAGTTCAAACACAATGTCATTGCAAAATCTTCAGGATATGCCCACATCTCTTGTCCTTGTCGTCTCTTTCCTTTAGCTCTTCTCTTCCTTCAATTTCGCTAGTACCAAGTTCTTACCAGCTATGTCCTGAATCGGGAGACCTGTATCTTTCTGAGAATTTAAGTTCCTTAAGTTCTTTATAGCTCGAATGTTTAATACAGTGCCTATCTGGCATGTAAAAAACGTTAAGTACATGTTTGTTAAAAAAAAAAAAATTGGACGTTGTTTTCGCTTCTCTCCTTCACCTTTGCACTTCTCTGAGGATATTTCTTTGATTTGCCTCAGTTAACCTCCCAGCCCATGGTTCTCTGTCATGCTCACAACTGCAATGTGTGTTATTGGGAAGAAAGTAGAGTAATAGCCATCCGGGATGGCCGTTCGACGTTGGGAAGATGTGGAGCAGGGACGTGAGGAATGGTGTCTCCAAATAGGAAAGAGGGCTGAGGATGGAGAGGTAGCTTCATGTTTCTAAGTAGATTTATGTTGATTGTTAAGTAAATCATATAGACACATATTGGTTTTTGTGCTCATGTGGTCTTAGACGATGGTTTGTGGAACTCTATAGCTGTAACGCATTAAATAACTAGTATCGGGGTTTGCACATTTAAATCTATTCATTTTGTTTTGTTTTCCAACAGAATTTTGTGCGACATCACTGGGTGCACAGGCGACGGCAGGAGGGAAAGTGTAAGCAGTGTGGTAAGGTAAGGGGCCCGACACCCCACGGCCATCGCAGGAGGCCCCTCAGGCCTCTGCAAGCACCCATGGTAGATGAGCCCCATCACCCCAATCCAGCGCTCAGTACATCACTTCCTTTCCGAAAGGCCTTATTTCTCCAAGTCCCCTTTCCTGAAGAGGTGTTTTAGTTGCTCTAGAACTCACTGCAAGAGGCCAAGTTCTTAAATTCAAGGAATTCGCATATGTTAAGAGAAATGGATACAGCTTTGTGGTGAATTTCATTGTTATAGTTTAAAAAAAACAGCACTTCCTGTTTTATTAAAACCCCCTCCCGAGGACTGCTAGCCTGCCATACTTCTTATCTGATCAGCAACGGAAAATCTGTGGGTTCTCCTTTTGTTGATGTATTATTGTGGCTGAGCAGAAGGACAACAAGGATGTAAGAAATGTGTTGCTCCCTTAGGATATTATCCAGTCCCTGGAAAGAGATGCCCTTCTCATATGTGGTTATTTATGTCTACTCTCCATCTCCATGTGACTGGTTACAGGCCCCTTAGGGTGCAAGGCCTCTTAGGAAAGTGAAGTGGGGTCCATGGCTGCGTGCTACGGAACTCTGTAGACGCCACATTATTGACCCCAACAGATTTGGGTTATGGCTTTTTTCACTGGACAAGGATCCACTTTAGGAATGAAAGGCCCCCCTGGGAAGGTTAAACTGGTGGTGAGTCACACCACCAAGATTTATTTCTTCATATAGCATTCATAAGTAAGCTGGACTCTGTGAAGGGAAGTTTTGATTTGGTAGAGACCAAGATAATTCAGGAGAATCTATTCCTCATCCATTAACAATCCCTAATTTGTTTATTTCTTCATGTGACTCCTTTGGGTCAAGCCCTGTGGTGAGTCAACCAGTATGGTATTTTTAATAATAGAGAAATGCAGGGAAACATTGCTTGTCTGAAGTTGGGGCATTAGAGTGAGTGAAACTTGGGAAGATGTGCATTAATTTTGCTGTCTGCACAGTGCCTTGAAAGAAAATATTATGCTGTAGCCATTAGTTACCAAGTTCTTTGAAAAGCTACATACCTTACCCTCAAGGGTATGTCCCTTTGTTATAATTAGCATCATCTTCTTCAGTTTAACTCACTGATTCTCAGTTGGTTCCTTTCTAGCCTGTAAAGAGGACATATGAAATAAGTTGAAAGGTGAAGGAGGTAGAAAGAAGATGAGGAGGCAGGGAGGCGAGTGATTCTTACCGGCCGTGTTACATGGCTGCGAAAAAGGAGGTTGGCCTCCTGCTGTCACAGGACCTTCCTTTCTTGGGTCCATCTACACTTTTCCTTTCTGGTGTTGCTTTGGAGCTGGTGGATTTACTCTTGCTTAGTGGAATGTAGACTGTCTATAGCTTTCCCACAAAAGTGTGTGTGTGTGTGTGTGTGTGTGTGTGTGTGTGTGTGTGTGTGTGTGAAAGAGAGAAGGAACAGGCAGAGTCAATTTTGAAATAGAAGATGTGATGTGCAGGAAGGACCTGGACAAACGTTCTTCTCTTTGGAAAAAAATATCTTCTCTGGACAGTTTAGCAGCTGGCAACACTCAACACCTTTCATACTGTAATAGAGTTGGGGAGTTTTATTAAAAGAGAATCAATAAGCGTATGTATTTTGTGACATAATATTGTGCTATTATATTCATCTCCTGTGTTTATAACCCAGCAGCTCATGAATTCCCAGAGACTCAAGCAATTATGGCATGGGATTGTCTTAGACCTGCGTCTCCTTGGTGGATAATCAATAGCCTGCCCTTCTTTGGATCCTGACTTTTACCCTGGATTAGAGGGAAGCTAGTGGCTCTAGTTCCATGTACAGATTAAGTGATTGAAGATTCATTTCAAACTTTGGAGCCATGCATAATTTTCATCAGTAGAGTTGTGTCCATTCTTACATATCCAAAGATGCCCCTCCCCCCCCACCTGTATACACATTATTCCTTACATACCGATGGGTGTGAAAAATAATAGTTTCACTTAGCAAAACTTTTTTTTAACTGGTGGTTTGAAAAATGTTTGAGGCTGTCAGAGTGTTTATGGTTAAAGAGTGTTTGTGGTTTCAGTTTTTACTTTTTAAATTAGCAGTAAAGTAAATATTTGGACTGATTTTCTCTTGAGCCTGGCTGAGTGTGTGCAGCATTTAATGAGTATCAGATGAGAAAGCTCATGATTCAGTTGCCCAGTTGCTTTAACATTTGCTTAGGCTGCCAAGTTTATGACCATTACATGTTTTACGTTGTTTTCACTCATATATTAAAAATCAGGGTCCAGGCAGTAAAGTGATGGCACACTCACACTCAAACTATGCAATTTGATGACTCCTTAATAAAGAGACTATTTGAAATGTATGAGCAGAGTGTAGAGAAACCCCAAAGGATAGTGAAGAACTCCGAGGCTCGTAATAGCAGGGAGCCATGGTCAAGTCTGAAGAGGCAAGGGGAAAGAGAGAACCCGTTCACAAGAGCTGTAACCTTTAGTTGTGAGACTCAGCCAGCCCTAGGTGACCTACCAGCTGCAGAATAAATATCCCAACTTCACTCACCTTCAGTCTCCAGTGGCCAAACCCAACAGAAACCGGAGCACAAGGGACGCTGTTAAGACAATCCATAGAAGTCAACTCTTTACAGTGGGGCATGGGGTCGGGCAAGATGGAGGGTGGGTCTGGAGGGGTAGTGGGATTGATCGAGCACACAACTATTTAATGAAAAGCTGTGTGGTCAGTGGTTAAAGGCAGGATGCCTCCTTACTCAGCAAACAGACCTCTTCCTGACCTTCCCCACGTCTACACATTGCATTCACTCAATCAAAATTTTGTCAGCACTGAGGTGTTCTTCATCCTTTAAAAATCAATAGGCAAAGGAAAAATATATGTATGATTCTAGCTAATTTGACCTTTTATTTTCGAAGGCACCGAGCATCCAAAGCCAGCACTATGGTAATTATGGAAATGTGCTTGTAAACCACAATTTGAGACCTTATCTTTTATGTCTTCATTTAGAAACATATATAATCATTATAAAAATAAATGAGCTAGCTTTTTGAAACTCAGAAATCTAGAATTTCCAACATCAAACTTTGAAAGCAATTTTTAATGTAACAACACATAGTTAAACTTTGGTCTACATGTTGGGTACCTTCCAGTTTCCTAACCAAACATGCTACATCATTATGAATTATTTGCCCATAAATCATATCTACTTTCATATGTAATTAGTTTAAGTAAATTAAATAGCATGTAGCATTAATTAAATGGGAAAATGTCAAAACTGCTCTTTATTGTAATGAATAGTATTAAAAACGAATTTAAAATGAAATTATAGTACAGCATTTGAAATATACACTTCTCAAGGAAGTATACTTAATGGTATTTTTGTAATGCAAAAATCACAAAATGATTAAAAACGTTCCAGGGGGTACAGCTGAGATATTATATGAATAGTGAAAGGGATTACAGAGTCTAAAAATAATGAAAAATACTGACCCAGGGCTTTTAAGGATCTTTCCTTATCCATTTAAAGCACTATTCTCTACTGACCTGAGTGGGTAATTCATCAGGGATGAGGAAATTAAGCCTCTCCGTGGAGCCCCTGCCAACATAGATGCTGGAAGCCTGTTTCTTCTTTCCGTCCTTGGGACAAGCAACCGCCATTCTACTTTCTGCTTCTATGAGTTTGATGATTTTGGATTCCCGATGTAAGTGGCATCATGTAATATCGGTCCTTCTGAGTCTGGTTTATGTCCCTTACATAATCGTCCAGATCCATCTGAGGAAGGGGAAATGGGGAGGTTATTTGTCAAAGGGTACAAAGTTTCAGTTATGCAAGATGAGTGAGTCCTAGAGATGTACTGTACAGCATAATGCCTCTCCTGTAGTGTATACCTCACATTTTGCTAAGAGGGTAGCTATTATGTTAAGTGTTCTCTCACAAAAATAATAGAGAGAGTGGGAGGAAACCGTTGAAGGAGAGAGAGATGTGTATGGCTTAGATGGTGGCAATGGTTTCACAGGTGTATTCTTATCTCCAAAGTCACCCAGTTGTATATATTAACATGTGCAACTTTTTGTATGTCAATCATTCAGAATGATGGTTACCAGAGGGGAAGGGGAGTCGGGGAGGATGAAGAGGGTAAAGGGGGTCAAATACAGGTTGACGAACAAAGACAAGGCTCTGGGTGGTGAGCGTGTAACACAATAGACAGATGTTGTATTAGATAATTGTATGCCTGAGACATATCATGTCAACCAGTGTTACTCCAATACATTTAATTAAAAGGGACAAGGGGCTGAGGGCTCCCAACCAGTGCTCCTTGCTGCTGTCCCAGGTGGTGAAGCCACTCAGTTCTCACCTATAGAGCTGTTTGCTACTGCCATCTCTCCCCTGGTCTTTGGCATGGTCAGTGTCCTGGTAGTGACCGCTAATGTGATACTCTGCTCACTGTGGTCCCCATTGCTCTCTCTTCAGAAGCACCCTACCTAGTGTACAACATCATGCTCACTAGTGAAGGCGCTAGGATTGTGCCAAGGGAGGGGTTGAGTGCAGTGCAGCCACAGCAGAGGCCCCTGGACTCGCCCCGCAGAGCTGCCCTGCTAGCCTGTCCTTGACTGAGGTGACTGTTAGGCTTTGGGCAATTGCTAAAGATGGAAAGGTATCTCTTTGGGAAGCCATCAGCCTCCAACACTCCTATCGACTGGGAGAATGAGATGAGTGTCTCAGGCCTGAAGCAGAGTTACCCGGATATAACAACACGGCCTCCAGTATAGCTCACCCCCTTCCCTTGTGCTTCTCAGCGTGACTCGTTTCATATAATACACTTTTAGTACAGCTCCTCCAGGATTCTGGTCAGTCTTATTTCCTGAGAAAACACAGAAGAGGGAGGTTAGTGGGGTAAGCCACAGCCCTCCCTGTGGCGGCTGGTCTTATATCTGCCATTGATCTGTCACTGTCACCCTCATGTAACACTCCTGGTCTAGGTGACTGTGTCAGCCTGTTTGGGCTGCTGTCAAAATGCCATAGACTGGGTGGCTTAACAACAGCAGAAGTTTATTGCTCACAGCTTGGAGCCTGGGAGTCCAAGATCCAGATGCTGGCAGATTTGGTTTCTGCTGAGAGCCTGCTGCTTACTCACAGAGAGCCTTCTCGCTGTGTCCTCAATGTGGCCGAAGGGGCAAGCAAGCTGTAAGAGTCTCCTTTATAAGGGCTCAAATCCCATCACGAGGGCTCTACCCTCAGACCTCATCACCTCCTAGAGGTCCCACCACCAAATACCATCACACTGGGGATTAAGTTTCAACATCTGAGTGATGAGGGGACACACTCAGTCTCTAGCAGTGACTTACCTCGTGGCGTGTTGAAGACCCTTAGCCCCGAGCAGTCAGATCCTCTGATCTTGGCCGCTGCACGTGTCCATGTATCATCCGAATTTTTCAAAGAATTACAATAAACCTCGCAGTGAAAAGCAGTTACCATGTAAATTAAAAATGTAAATTAGTAGCCATTAGTAGACAATTCCAAGGTCCTGGGTTAAGTTGTCTGCTTCTGTGAAGTCATCTGCCTCAGACATAAAAAAAGCTCTGGAAATCATGTCTTAAACTCTTCATAAGTCTGACAAGTTTGTGATAACAATGTTAACTTATACTGAGAATCCTGTGCCCCAGAGTTTGTCCCCCACCCCCAACCCCGGAGACTCTATGTCTGATCTGTAACTTGTAGCATGGGTCTTCAGATAAATTAATGGAAAAAGCTGAAATTATTCTAGGATAATAAGACTGACTGGCTCTGATTAATATATTGTCATTACCAACAGCATTAGAATGGAGGAACGCAGAAGGCTGGATTGAGGAATAATAAAATGTCAGCCTGTGTGTGTAAGTCAGCGATTACCCTGGAGTGTGAGTGTATTGTGAACAATAGCATTGTTAAATTTTCAGAGCCTTTAATTAATACTTAAAATATTATAATTAAACCCAATAGACAAGAATGTAGATTTTTCAAAGATAATTCTAATAAAGTAACTGTAGAGTCACATAATTTGCAGCACTGTCAGAAGTGAGAAAGACATTGCTTATTAAAATTCCATTTATAAATACATTGTTTATTGTAATTCAGTTTAGATAACCACATATGTTTACATTTTGAAAATCTCAAATGTGTATTAAAATTTTAGTTTAAGACCAATAGAATCAGTATAAGAAACTTAGACAGTTCAGGTAAATCAGATTTTTCTGTGAGTAAATATACCCTAATCTTTTATAAACTAGAATAGTAGTGCTACCATATTTATGCTGTGATAAAACCAAGGAAAAGCCATATTATAAAAGTAGCCTAATACCCAGAGATTCACATTGCCACGCAAGGGTACCTATACATATCAGTGGAAAACTGGATGGAATAGTTTCTTGAGGGGAAAAAGTCAACAATGTGTATGTCCCAGGAAAGGGATCGGTTCATGGTGGTTTTGCCAAAGATCGAAGGTTGCACCCTTACCTAATTCTGGATGGGACAGAAGTAGTCGATATGCCTGTAGATAGTTGGTTAAAATGGGTGCCATTTTTGATTAGTCAGAAGAAAGTTTCCAATTAGGTTGGTGTGGGTCTGCGCTAGGTCACGCCAAGGTCTTCGTTGTGTATCAGCGTCAGCTGTGGGGCGCTCCAGGGTCATGGTTTGTCAGCTTCAGATGCTGGAAGGCAGTTGCACTTAAGCAGTGCAACCATTTTGAGATCTTCTAGCAAATCTCTGCTCTGATCAGAAAAATGTTCTTTTACGTTAGTGAGTATCAAATCACCATGGTGTTCCTATGCCATTGGCTAAGTTTTCAAGAGTGGTATAACAGTTTTATTTTAAAACTTCTATTCTGGTTTGCTAAAGTTAATGAACTTTGCACTTAAACTTATGGTGAACATGTTAGATATTAAATATAAAATGTGTGAAAGATTATATATACTTTTTCAAAAATCATAGAGAATATTTGAGCAAAACTGTTTAAATTCTCTGTTTTAAGATAGCTATTGATTTAGTCTTTTATTTATTTAATTTATTGGGGTGACATTGGTTGGTCAAATTATGTAGGTTTCAAGGGTACATTTTTATAATACGTCATCTGTAGATTGCACTGTGTGTTCATCACCCAGAGTCAGTTCTCCTTCTATCACCATTTGCCCTTCTGGGTTTGCCTTTTTTTTAATGCTTTGGGAGCCTCGAACATAGGAGTGGATATGGAGAGGTTCATTTTGTTGTTGTTTAAAGTTTTGGAGTCAAGAGCAGTATCAACACTTGTGTAAAATAAAATTCAATCCAACTGGGAATCAGGCTCTGATCAGGAGATTCCATCACCCAAACCTCAGTTAAATACATAAACCATAAGACAATTTCAGTTTGTTTCAAATAAAGCCCCCCCCCGCCCTTTTTTTTCTGGTTTCAGCTGTAAAACTGAGTGCCATTTGGTATAAGCCCTAGATTGCAGAAGAAAAAGAGGCAACAGAGCTTTAGCTGCTAAGAATAAATGTTGTTTAAACTTTTTAAAATTCTATTTTGATGAAAAAACTCAACCAAAAAAACCAAAAAGTGACCTTATCCTTCAAGGTTCTTGGTATTTATAATTCTGAAGTCAGTGAGATCCAAAGCATTTGACCTCACACTCCTGTTTTCTGCTTTGATAGTGATGAGCATCGTAGCCCTTAAAACTCAGAGCCAGCTGAAATTCAGTCAGGGCATCTGTCAATAGCATAATGTCAGAGATGGGCCAGCATTTAAAAATGGGTCATTAGGAATTCGGCTCTTTATGCTGTGTTGCGATCCCGGCCAACATCTTCTCCTCATGGCAGGTGGTCTGTGGGAACTTGGTCCATGAAGGCTCCGATGTGGTTCTATTTATGGTACAGTGTTAGACAATCACCCTGAAGCTATGGCCTCTGGGACTTGGCCAGACCAGAATCCAAACAAAGCACAGAGCTGATTACCACCAGGCTCCTTTCCAAGGGAGCCGCCACAGTTCTGCGTAAGCACAGGTCCCAGCGCCCTAGCTATGGCTGGCCTGGTTGGTTGTTTCCAGTGTCAGTCTGGCTGTCAGGACTCCAGTGGATTGCATGTTTCGCCTTGAAGCCAGAAGGCCAGTGTTCAGTAGAGGGGTGGGCTAATACGCTCGCTCTGTACCATCCAGCAGAGAATTGCTAGTCACATACTCCACGCTGGAGGGCTTTGTCAGCAAGGCGGGGCTGGGTGAGGTTCCTGCTGATAAGTCTTAGCAATAAGAGTACCCCTTTATTTATATATACTGTGTTATAAAAAACTTTCCCAATACATTGCCTCTTTTGATGCTTCTAACTACTTAGCGGTATAGGAGAGATGTGTGTTCTTATTATCATTTTCAGGTGAAGGGAGATACTCGGAAGGGTTAAGTGATTTGTCTGAGATCACCCACCCAAGAAGAAGGTCCAAGAATGATTCTCAGCTTTGCCAACTCTCCATCAGCTTCTCTTTCATATAAATTGATGAAGGTGGTGACTGGGAAATAGCATTTAAGACTGTTTAACAATACATTTGCTGCAGCAACATTCAATAGACCTCTAGTTGTGGCTACTGCTGCTGTGATGCCATCAGCCCCACCATGTTGATTTCCAGCCATGCAGCATGTCAATATTGCAGGCTCGAAAATTAGAATCCTAGCATGTTTGCAGTGGCTAAAGGGGCCGGAGGAAAGTGTGGGAGGGGGCATAATTTCAGGTGGTTTGGGTTAGGTGTTTAAAGTCTGCATAGCATGGAGTTGGTAATTGGATCTCAATATGGTAGTGGTGACTTTGTTCAAGTCATCAGAAGACATGCGTGCCATGCCGGTGATGTTCAAAGAGCTGTGCTACGTGTGGGACTTTTCTCAAGGAGCTCTAATTCCATGAAGAGATAATGCATGTGCACAGAAAGTAACCGACAACTTAGGACAGCCATTCCTTCATGCCAAGCGGAGATAACAGTGGTGAGGCCTATAGTTTAGAATGGAACTTCATTTTATGTAAATTGTTTTTTTTAACTTAAAATTATCTGGACCCATTGAGCAAGACTTCAGCCTTCACAGCTTTCCTGCCCATCACATTTTCTTCTGATCATTTTACAAAAACACTGTTTTTAAAAAAAATTGTTGTTTTTGCGCTGCATTAGTTTGTTTGGGTTTAGATTTTACAGGCAGGAAGAATGGATGAGCTTCGGGGAGGCTGCAAAAAATTCTTGGAGCATTACCGCATCTCTCTCTTGGGTAATTATTTAGGGACAGCAGCAGCCAAAAGGCACCTCTTCTGTTCTTGATGGAGAAGTAATTCCGTTTGTTCGTTTAAGAGGATTGTGTTTGCCATTCCATTAATCTCATGGCCGCTTCCTGGTGGAGAATAAAATTGAAAGCTGCTTGTTTTGAGTCCCGACATCCCAAGGGGGATGATGAGAGTGTTTGAATTTCCTGCTGCTCTCTTGGACTTCTCCCAGACCCCGACTCCTAGACCCTAACTCTGATGCGTAATTTCTCTCTTAGTGGGTCCTCATTGTAAAAGCTACCTAGAACCTCTGAGAAGGATGCCCGTTGTTATGAAGAGCCATGTGAACCAATCATGGCTTTTCTTTTGCTGATCATAACAACATGGCAGAACCATATTTATTTGGGGAAAACAATCCAGATATTTCCGGGGCTGACTCTGAGAAGCTAGGGGTACAGCGGATATGCGTGCCTCCTTTGTACAGCCCAAATGATTCAGGCGTAGCAAACTTGCGTGGCAGAGGGTGGCGAATGTCAGCGCTGAATGTGGCATTTGCAGTCCCAGTTACCCTGAGTGGTGGGGTGGTTCTGGCCCTCTTCACTGGGCTTCAGGAGGACAAAGCACACTGCGATTGAAGAGGTTTTAAATTGTCTCTCTCTTGTCCTAACATCTCAGGGCTTCCAGCAGAAATTCTCCTTCCACAGTAAAGAGATTGTGGCTATCAGCTGCTCCTGGTGCAAGCAGGCGGTAAGTTTGGGGAGGAAATAAAATACTGTGCTCATCTTCTAGCAGAATAGACCTATGTCTTTGCTTGAGTTCCTGTCTGTAAGTGGATGGTTATTCCAGTGTATGTATTATTTACCTTCCATAGCATCATTGGAGGAAGAAAAATGGATGACAACTTTAGAATTATAGCATGTATGAGCTGGGAGAATAACCCCTTCATTTATACACACTGAAGCCTGGGATCAGAGACTGGAAAAATGTTTTCTTTTTTTTTTAATCTATCCTTTTAAACAATTTTTTTATTTTTTAATTCCTCTGTCCCAACATGGTTCATTTTCTTGTTTGCCTATGTACCTATTCTTTCTTTAATCAGACAACGTAAATGCTAACTCATGGGTTGGCAAACTATGGCCCATAGGCCAGCTCTGACTGCTGTCTGTTTTTTTGTAAATAAAGTTTTATTGGAACACAGCCATGTTCATCCATTTATATAGTGTGTGTAGCTACAACACTTTACTACTAGTAACATAGTGACAGGGTTGAGTAGTTGCAACAGAGACAGTATGGTCCTGTAAGACTGAAATATTTACTATCTGGGCCTTTTATAGGAAAAGTTTGTGGAGCCCTGCTCTCCACTCTCAATTCACCTACTCTTTCGAATGACTGTGTATTTGGGATATTTAGTCTCTTCATTACATAGCCAATCTGAAAAGAAAGAAACTAGTTTCAGCTAGTTTGAAGGAAAACTTCAGCCCTCTACACACATCGGATTTAACTCTGGGGCAGGAGCAGATGCATTTAGTTGAAACACCTGAAATTGACATTTTTTTGTGGGTCAAACGTTTTTGAATTTTGGCAATTCCATAAGGTTCAACCAATAATCTTGCTAGCATAATTTCCCTAAGCCCCCACAGGTCAGGAGGAGAACCTACTGTCACTAGGTAGGGATGCACTGGTCTGGAAAGCTCAGTGCCTGTTGCGTCAGCATTCTGCCACATCTTTTATTCTTGGCATTCCCATCTCCTTTGAGTTAATTGTTACACAGATAACCTCTGTGCTTCTGCTCAAAGGCATATTCACAAATATAAGGGCATCCTAGTCCTTGATTGAAATTATACCATCAAGGCAATATCCACCTGGAGACAAGCAGATTCAGGGTCCAGGTGTCCCAATAATATCTGTGATGCTGTTTTTCCTGATGTGGGAAGACCCCACCTGTGGGACAGCCTTGGTGGCAGTGGACTCAGATAGGCAGCATCTGCTCCTGCTCCTGTACCTACCAGGCTGTGGTTAGATGGTTTACCTGGGGGTCGATGAGTTGGGAACTCAATGCCAGTTTCCAGCAAACACGAGGGCTCTCTTTACATGACTCTCTAGCCCAATTGAATCACTACAAAGACAACTGTCACTCAACCCTTGTGACAGAGCTTTGGTCCATCCCACACGTCTTTGTTTCCCAGGGTCCCATGCATAGAAGGTGATTTTGCAAAATCTAAAAATAGAAAACATTTTAAGAGGAATTACAGTGGTGATATATTTTTAACATTACAGGTACTCCTTTCTAGGATATATAAAGTCAAACAAATAAGTGCCTTCTATGGGCACTTTTTTCAGCAGGGAAAAAAAAAACAACAGCAGCAGCTGGTTTTGGGAGCTGGGTTTCCTGGGTTCAGGTCCTGACCTTACCACTTAAAAGTTGTGCATTTGGACATACCTCTTAGTATCTTTATATTGGAGATTTCTCAGGTATAAACTGAGAGTGTTGAACTAGGCAGTCTTTTGTTTTAGAAAAGCAGTGGCCATGCATTTGGGGGCTTATTTGAATTGCTAAGAGAAAATCACTTTAAAAAAATTTAGTTTGAACGAATTTTAAATTTACAGAGAAGTTGCAAAAATAGTACAGAGCATTCAATGTATACCCTTTCACCCTGCTTTCCCTAGCTTCCTCTAATTTTGACAGCATACAAAACCATAGTACACAGAATAAAACCAGGAAATTAATATCGATGCATTACTATTACCTAAACTACAGATTTTAAAAATGTACCCCAGTTTTTTCCTTAATGCCCCTTTTCTGTTCCAGGAGCTAATCAAGCATCCCACAACACACTGAGTCGCGTCTCTTTCGTGTCCTCTAATTTTTGACACTTCCTCATTCGTTCCTTGTCTTTCACGGATGGCCTTGACACTTGGAATAAGTAGTGACCGGTGGTTTTGTAGAATGTTCCCAAATTGACTTTGCCTGATGTTTTCTTGTGGTTAGGTTGAAAATATTCATTTTAGGCAAGAAACTATAGAAGTGACGTGGTATCCTTATTATGTACTCATCAGGGGGAACCTAATGTTGATATTTTATTGCTGGTGATAGTAACCTTGATCACTTGATGAAGGTAGTACTTGTTAATATCTTCAACATGAAGTTACTAGGTTTCCCTTGCCAATTGAGAATATTTGCAGGAGATAGTTTGAGATTGCGCTGACGTCATATTTGTCCTCAAACGTTTGCCTACTGATTTTAGCATTTGTTAGTGGTTCTTTTTTTTTTTAACTTATTTAATTGTTTTTTTAATTTTTAAAATTAGTAAACCTTGTTTTTCAGAACAGTTTTGGGTTCACAACAAAACTAAGTAGAAAGCAGAGCGATTACCCATACATCCCCTGTCCTTACACCATTACATATTCCTCCCACTGTGAACATCCCATGAGAAAATGCCTTTTTAAAGAAGATACTCTACACCTTAAATCTGTGTCACATTGCTAACAATGTCACCCCAATAAACTTTAATTAAAAAAAAGAAGATATTCAACTAACATTTCTCTGGTGTATCAAATTGTTTGCAGATCACAAATAACTGGTGGCTGGAGGAATTATTAATTATTTTATGAAATTGTGTTTCATACTTAATTAACTGATTGAGTAATTAGCCACTGGATCATGTCAGATCTTGAAGATATGCAAAAATGAAGACAAAACCTCCCTGATGTGATATAGTTGAGGTGGCCATCTTGGCCAGTTTTCCTAGACAGTCTTAAATTTATATCTTTTGTTCCAATATAATTATTAACTGTACGCCCTTTCACTCTTCAGAATGTTCCAGTTAAGATGATAAATTATGTGGTCACATGAAATGCATTCCAAGTAGAAACTGATGTTAAAAGTTTAAAACTCACTATGATTAAAACTGTAAGGCTGGTAATTATTGTGTAATGTGGATTTTTATGTTTATTACAAAACAAATGTTACCACATGTTACTATCACTTTACAGCCGCATAGAAGATGATTGAAAACGTTGTTGGCCTAAGGTCACCCAGTCCACTGGGGTATAGAGTTAAGCTCCTAATATTGAGCTCTTGTTATGATCATTAGTCTACATTTACTTCCTTCCTTTCCAAAACAAAAAGCACTTTAGACTTGCCAAGTGTAACAGGACCATTGCATTTTTCAGCAGCCCTCAACAAACCCAGCCAAAGCAATCTCTTAGTTCTTTGTTACCTCTTGGACTTACAGCTCTCTTTCCTGGGTCCCTCAAACTGGGAGACTTCCTGGGAAGGATTTACATCTCTGGGTAGAAAAAGGAGAGGTGGGTGGTAGGCACTGCCTTGCTGCTCTTCTTCATGTCCTTCTAAACATTATCCCAAATCAACCGACTCTGTGACCAGAGCAAGTCAAATGAAACCAAGTTATGTGCGAAGTTAGAATTAATAGAACCCTCCAAGATTCTAATATCTCTAGGTAAATATCCTATTAAAAGGTTATAAACTTTGAGCTGGCCTTGTCCTACAAGACTGATTTTTTTGTTATCAGTTCATAAAGTGGAATGAATTGGAAACCTGATCTCTGTACTCCCGGGGCTGGTTGGGCAGTGACAAGGAGCGTGTGTCCTCAGTGTGCATGCGTGCGCGTGTGCGTGTGTGCGTGCATGAGCGCGTGTGCGTGTGCATGCGTGCGTGCATGAGCGCGAGCGTGTGTGCGTGCATGAGCGTGTGTGTGTGTGCGTGCATGAGCGCGTGTGCGTGCGTGCATGAGCGCGTGCGTGTGTGCATGCATGAGCGTGTGCGTGTGTGCATGTGTGTGCATGTGCGTGCACGAGCGCGTGCGTGTGTGCATGCGTGCGCATGTGCATGTGTGCGTGCATGAGCACGAGCGCGTGCGCGAGTGCGTGCGCGTGTACTGATCCCTTCTCGCCGCAGCGTGGCCCTTTGCGCAGAATTGTTTATTGGCCTGTTTCTCTCCTCAGTTTCACAATAAGGTGACCTGCTTCATGCTCCATCACATCGAGGAACCCTGCTCCCTGGGGGCTCATGCTGCTGTCATTGTTCCGCCCACCTGGATCATTAAGGTGAAGAAACCTCAGGTAACCGCTGGGACCCTGGTGCTGCTGGGCAGGTGCAGAGACCAAGTAACTGCTGCTTCTCGCTTTTCTCCCCCTGAGTAGTCTTTGGGTTTCTACAGTCTCTGCTCTCTCCTCCCCGTGGTCCTCTGCTTAACCTTCCCCAGTCCATCCCATCAGCCCATCACATTGGGCTCTCTCATGGAACCAGCCGCCGCCTCTAAAGAAATCAAAGTTCCGCAGCAGGATTGCTCCCTCCTCGTTTGTGTACTTTGGTGCTCTCGTTGGGGGCTCTCCTGAGTTCCTTAAGTACTAGTGGTGGGTACAGCTGATTCTTAGCCGCCTCTATTTGGTTCCAGCCTGGACACCTCCAAGGAGTGAACGTGAGGGCAGACTCTGGGGGCTTCCTTGTTTGGTTGAGGTGATCACCACTTCCACCCTGATAGTCACCACTTTAGGAAGGGCCGTGACCTTCCTAAATACATAAGGCCTGCTTAGAGAGCAACGTTCTTTTCTTAAGGCAAAGTAGAACTTAGCCTCGTAACACCTAAGCTCACACCGTGTTCAGTCTTCATTGTGCTTTCTGTCCTAGAGCGTTCCTGCTACAATAGTCTGGGAAACCCTGGTGGTCTCTCAACAAGGTTATAATCTTTGATAGAAACATTTCTGTCTGAGCAACAGGGTCACCAGTTTGATTCATGGCCTGAGCTGAGCTGTCGCTGAGCTGCCAACAGGTGGCAGGATGGCTCAGCTAAAGAAAAAAGAAAAAGAACAAGAAAAATTTTTGCCTTGTACTGTACATCTTAGGCAGGTAGCTTCAAGTTCTGGGATGGAAGACTTTTAATGCTACAGGGAGAGGACAATACCTTCCCTAGGAAGGTAACTGCGGAAGTCTTATTGAATGTAATACCCTGAAAAGATACGGCAGCCCTCCTTCATGTGGTCTCCAAAATCACCATGTAGTTTATTCTCCTTGGCTCAGTTTTATTTAAAAACTGTTGGATTGGGGACACTGTTTTGCTTTGTGTGTTTTATATAAAGTTGAGCCTCTGTTGATGAGTAACATTTGGGAATAATCTTTCCAAGTTAAAATCCATGGAAGCCCTTGGGAAATCTTTTCCAAAGGCAAGTACAGTATCTGCATATTAAAAATTGGGGAGTCGCACCTTTTCATTTTACATTTTAGAGTCAAATGCCCAGAGATGTTACATGACTTGCCCAAGGCAAGGAGTCATAGCAGCTTTAGTACTGCATCTGAAATTCAAGTGTACTGATTTCCAATGCATTGTTATTTAAAAATCTCTTTAACATTTTTATTTCTTTGTGTGCTTTTCCCCTAAAATTCAGTAATCTCTCCATGAGTTTTATATTAAATGTTCAGTTAAATCTACACGTTTTTATTGCAAACCTCGATGGTATGGGGAAGTCATACACGATCCTTGCTCTCAATAACGTGTAGTTACCTTAAGAAAAGATCAGGGAGATCTTCATGAAGGAGGTGGCTTTTATCCTGCCTCTTAAAGATGGGTAAGATTTAGGTCAGTGAAGAAGAGAAGAAACAGCAGGCGGGAGAATGTCAGGGGCAAGCATACTGGGTCCAAAATTATATTCATGGGGCTGTGAGACTAGCTTGGCTGCAGTGGAAAGTTTATGTAGGGTTGTGTGAGAGAAGCGTGGGGTTGCTCAGGCATGACTGGGGAGTTCTTCTTACGTATGAACTTTATCTTCTTGAGTAAAGGAGCGATAGAGTACAATTTTTTATTTTAGAAGGACACAAGTGTGTAGGATGGCCTAATGGTATGGGATTTCAGAAGACTTGAGATAGACCAGTTAGGACAATCAGAACATGATACCATTTTGCAGGGGAATTGTAAGTTTACTGTTCCAAACTTTAAAAATCTTTTCATTATGGAAATTTTTAAGCAAATGAAGAGAAGGAGAGAAGATTCTAATGAATTCTTCTATAACCATAAACTTTTCTGTCATTGTTATTTCATTTATCCCCTGCCATACCGTAATTTCCTTTTCTTAATTATTGTTTTTATTATTTTGAGATTGACATGCAGTTGGAAGAAGTAATACAGAGAGATTCCATGTACCCTTCTCAAATTTTTCCCTTGTGGAAATACCCTGCAGTATTATAGTACAATGTTTCAAAACTGGATGTTGACAGTAATTCAGTCAAGCTATAGAGCAGTAGCCTGTCACACAAGTATCCCTCATGCTCCCTTTTTGAAGCCACCTCCATTTTTCTCCTGGTCCCATTCCACCTACTCTCTCTTCCCGGAAGTGAAAGACCCCCATTTTTTTTTCTTTTTTTTAATTTGCCTAGAGTATTTTAAAGCAAATCTTAGCACATCATTTAATCTGTAAATACATCATTTTGCTTCTCTAGAAGATAACATTTTAGAAAGACAACGGTATACCATTGCCTCACCCAAAATTATTTTTTAAAAATATTTTTTGATTGTATCAAATATAAATTTTTAAAGTATTTTCTTCAAATCAGGATCCAAAGTCCATAACTGCCTTTTTGTTGACGTAGCTCTTAAGTCTCTTTGAATCTACAACAGTTCCTTCTCTAATTGTAATGCCATTTATTTATTGAATAAATTGGGTCACTTTACCTATAGAGTTTCTCATAGTTTTTATTTTGGCTGCTTGTACCCTTATTTTGTTTTAAAGTGACTTCCTTTACTGCCCATGTTTCTTGTAAAATAATATTTAGATATATAGACTCAGAATCAGGTTTAATTTTTTTTGGCAAAAGGACACTGTGGGTGATGGTGTGTATTTCTATGGTGTTGCTTTCAAAGGAACATTTTCTCAGGTTGTTTTAGTGGTGTTAGGATTGATCCGTGAGTCCGGGAGTTTTCATCCTAATCCGTGGATCACAAAGTTGTCCATCAGCCTTCTGCCTACTGCTTAATCCACTAAAGATTATTACCTAAATCTGTTATTTCATTGGGGTTGCCAAAGGTTATTTCCCAATTTTTACTCTTCATTTTCTAGCTGATTTTTCTATAAAGAAACATTTTCCTTATTACCAGCAAGTCCATGACAGATGCTTGAGTATTTATCTTCATTTGTAAATTTTCAGGATAATAAGTTGATACCTTAGCAACTTTTATTAGGTGTCTAAGAGTGGTGATGGTGGTAATAGGGGTTGTTTTGAGAGTATCATTATGAACTATGAACTTACATCAGTATGTGATATATATGATATATGCCGTGTGTCAATCATTGGTATCATTATTTTTTTATATTCATATTGTTCCATTTTTGACCAGTTAGAACCCCTTTCAGGAGGCTCCTATCTCCATGTTTTACGAGACATGAGATTTTTGATAGCTGCCTTGGTTTCAGGAATAATGCCATGTGCCGGGATCAACTTGTGCATTTCCTGTCCATGTTGTGATCAGCCATCTTTCTAAGGAGCATTGTTTACTATTAATGGGAGATGGTATTTACAGTTCACAGTGTGGATGCTACAGCCCAAAGTTTTTATGATACACCTTTTTATTGTCTTCTGTGATTCAGGATATTATAATAAGAATAAGGAATCCTAACACTCACATGTTGGGAAATATTTTGAGTACTTTACATTTAGTATTTCTTTTTATCTCATCACAGTACCCCAGAAGGCAGGTAGCCTATTATTCTCTCTTTGAGGCTTGGAAAAGTGAGGAATAGAGAGGCTAACAAAATTACCCAGGTTCATATGCTTATTAAATAGGTTGAAGTAGCATTTGAAACTAGGAATTCTGATCCTGGAAACCAAGCTCTTACTGATATGCTCACTGTCTCACTATAGCAAGCCTTGCTGAATCAGATCCTTTTTTTATTTATTTAAAGATTTTATTGGGGAATTGGGGAAGGGGAACAGCCAAGTTGTTGTCCTTCAATCTTAGTTGTGGAGGGTGCAGCTAGCTCAGCTCCAAGTCCAGTCGCCATCCGGCCACCCATTGGCAGCTTGTGGCTGCTCAGCTCTAGGTGCCGTGTTCAATCTTGGTTGCAGGTGGGCGTCACCCACCATCTCATGCGGGAGTCGAACCGGCAATCTTGTGGTTAGGAGCACGTGCTCTCACCAGCTGAGCCATCCTGCCACCTGTTGGCAGCTCAGCAGCAGCTCTGCTTGGGTGCAGCTCACTGGCCCATGTGGGAATCAAACTGGCGACCTTGTTGCTCAGAGCTCGCGCCCTTAGCCAACTGAGCCAACTCAGCTGGCCCCTGAATCAGATATCTTTAAAAATTTTAATGGCTTCTCCGCCTTTGGGCTCCAAAACCATCAAGTAATTTAATCAACTAACTAAATTCTATGTAAAAGCTAATGTACGGTGGGCTCGGGGGGCAGTATAGCAGTGCTAAAGAGCTCTAGCTGACGAGCCAGACCACCTGCACCCCTGACCTCACTCTGCCACTGAATAACTTGTATAATCACAAACAACTTAAACTCTTCTGTGTCACCTTCTCATCCACAAGTGCCTAGTTCATAGGGTTTTCTTGAAGACTAATGAGCTAAAGACAAAAAAGATAAAGTACATAGACTAGCACCTGGCTCACTGTAAACACTCGGTAAGTGTGAGTTTTTATTTTCCTTCTTGTTGACTTTTAGGAGGGCAGGGTATCAGCTGAAGCTGTGCATCAACAGGTGAAAACATTGACAGTCACAGAGGGGTCAGGTCAGCAGTTATCCATCCTGAGCCATCTGTACTACAATGAAAGAGGACGAGATTTCTAATGGGGAGGGTAGAAAGAGACGGAATAGGGGCCACAGCCGACCAGTTACTGTGCTCCTAAGTGCGCCTGAAATACTGCTGTTCACTGTCGTCTTTTACACTGTAGTGGGATTGTGTGTTCGCTAGCATGGTGCCTATCCCATGGGAGACGGTCAGGTCCTATTCATTTATTGAATATAAGGGTGGAAGAATCCTGGGTGGGCGTCCACACTCACGTAATGGAAGGAGGGAGAGAACCCTGCAAAACAGGGAGAGGACTGTGATAATACAGAGTTCCATTATTCA